CAGTCAGCCATGTGGGGGAGTCCAGTGCCTTTAACTACCACCCACCTGCCTGCCCTCTAATCTACATATCTTGATCAAATTTTCAAGTTGACACAATAATGTCTTTTTTTTTAAAGAATTATTTTATTTAACTTTATTTATTTATTTCAATTTGACCAGAGAGGGCGAGAGAGAGCAGGAAAGTGAGAAAGCAAGTCACCAGGTCCAGGACTCAAACCATTGTCGGCCATGTGGGAGTCCCACACCCTTAACCACCACACCAGCTGCCGGCCCCTACAGTAATGTCTTTTTATACCAAAAAAAAAAAAAAAAATTTCAGCATACAGTCCAAGATCACATATTGCGTTTAGATATATCTCTTTAGTGACATGTTTTCTGAGACAGTTAATCAGGTTTTCTTTATATTTCATGATTATACTTTTGGAGAGTACTGACCACTTGTTTTGTAGAATGTCCTTCATTTGAGTTTGTTTAAGCCACTGGGTCCAGGACTCGAACCGCGATCAACTATGTGGGAGTCCAGCAACATAGCCATTATGCTAACTGCTGGTCCCATGATTAATTCATTTTTAAAAACCACAATTAGGAGCTGGCAGATTGCATGGTGGTTAAAGGTGCTGGACTCCCACGTGACTGACCATGGTTTCAGTCCGGTCCTGGCAGCTTACTTTCTCACTTTCTCTCTCTGTCTCTTTCTCTCTCTCTCGTCAAATTTTTAAAAAATAATAATAAATAAAATATTTTTTTAAAAAAACACAATTAATTTTTTGTTGCCTTAAATACTGCTTTGCTGTTTTGTTAATATTGCATGACTGCTGTCTCTTGTCTGTATGCACATATATAGCTTTACTTTTGTATTTTCATGTAATTTTATTGTAAGCATGTGTTTTATCATGAGAATACAGATTTTAAAAATAATTACTTATTTAATTTTACTTATTTATTATTATTTTAATTTGACCAGAGACAGACAAAGAGGGAAAGTGAGACAGCAAACTGCCAGATCTGGGACTTGAATCATGGTCAACCATGTGAAAGTTCAGTGCCTTAACCACCACACTACCTGCTAGCCCCAAGAATACAGATTTTTAAAAAATTAACCAATTTGGGGGGCCCGGAGCATGCATAGTGGTAAAGGTGCTGGACTACCACAGGGTCAACCA